TAGGAACAATAAGCTAAACCCAAAGTAACCCAGGTTTGAGCATACTGTAAGAAGTTTGAGAAGAATGACAGGTAAATCATCTCTTATTTACCTAAACCAGTATAGCTCTCTCCAAATGAAAGTTATATGAATCATACACACAGAAAAGATCATACTCCACATCAAAGAACCTAGCATGTAATGCAATTACCATCACTTGCATCCTCTGCTAGCTCTAAGGTTCTTCCAAACACTGCTGCCCATACCGTAATACGAAATAACAATGAAGACTAACAGAGCTTTCTCTTTTATTAAAAGGTCTTATGTAAACAGAGGATTTTCAGTGGGTTTTTTCAAAGGAATAATTTAAGAGTAAGAAGACATTAAACAAAGCCAAAAGGTAGCATTTAAAGCAGATAAAATTGTATATATTGTCTTATTAGAGTACACAGAGCCTGTAGAACTCCTTGCCCACAAGACATGATTAGGCTCAAAATATAGAGCCCAAATAATTTAGAGTTGTTTGAATTGGTAAGTGTTTTTCAAACACAGAAGCCCAAGAAGAGTTCAGTCACAGGATGATAATCTCAAAAGGAAAACCACCATTTCACAGGACCTGTTTCTTGTTCAGAGCTCATCGTCTCTTTGTAACTGTCACGGCGGGGTCCTCTAGGAGGGCCGTGATCTCCTCGAGGTCCCTCGCTCCGTGTCAAGGCCGGCCCAAGACACCCTCTTATTCTCACCCGCCATGTCTTGCTGGTAAATATAAGGTTGGGAGGCTGCTGCTGTTTATATATAAGGTTGGGAGGCTGCCTATGACTCCCTGGGCACGGCTACTCGGGACCTCTGTCCCCGCAGTTCTCCCAGACTCCTGTGGTCTCCCAGTATGATGGGTGCTTCCCAGGCACCCTAGCCTTACGGGCTGCGCGTGGCTCCTACCAGCCCGTAATACCACGCCCCAAGCCTCGCTGATGGGAAAGACGTTGTCTGGTCAAAGTACACGCCCGCTTTTGGGCCTTCTCTACAATAGGGCAGTCCTCTCGGTCCACCGGTCCTCTAGGCTCACCGCACTAATACCCTCTCTGGTATGGGCTCACCGCGCTGCTACTCCCTGTCCTCCCGGGGCAACCGCAGCACCTTGCCCTTTTCTGGGATGCTGTGCTGCTAACCCTTTCTGTCTGGGTCCACCGCAGCACCCTTCCCCTCTTGGGTTTTCCGCGGTGCTAGCCTTTTACCGGGCTCGCTCCTCCTATCCTGGGTTTCTCAGTTGGGCCCCTCTCGGGCTCCTCAATATTGCCCCGCTCTAGGGCTGGGGTCTATGCACCCCGCAAGTGACGCCCTTGCTGATGTCTGCCGAGCCCGTCCTGGGCTCCCCAATATGGCGCTCCCCACCTTCAGGGCTCGCCGCGCCCACCTTGGGCTTCTCAATAGACCAATATGGTGCTCCCCCTCTTTGGGGCTCACCGTGCCCGCCTCGGGCTTCTCAATGCTGCCCCGTTCTGGGGCTGGGGTCTACGTACCCCGCATACAACCCGGGGTCTTTGTTCCCTACCCGCAACCCACTGGTTGTGCCCACGCCCTCTTAGCGTTAGGGCACCCCACACTCTCTGGGGTCCCTATACGGATAATGCGCCCACCAGGCACTGGACTGCACCCTCACTGGCACTGCGCCCTCGCTGGCACTGGGGCCCCACCCCTCCGGGGTCCCTATGAGGCCTCCTCCAACCCCTACAGCCTCACCCAAACCTCCGGTGCAATAACAAAGCCTGAACACAAACATAAACTACAGCCTCCTGGCTATAACTCAGCTCAAAGCCACCTGGCTATAACTTAACATAGCTTAACTCTGATCGAGCAGTACCTACTGTCAGGCTTCTCTTCTCCCCCCCCTTATTCCCAGAGCTCCTGCCCCTCTGCCAGCCTGGCCGGGAACTGCCAGCCTGGCCTTGACTTTTGGCTTTATAGGAGCCAGGCCCTGCCCCCTACAGGCAGCTGACTCTTATTAGTCACCCTGGCAACCCACAGCTGTACTCATTATGTTCTGCTAGGGCTCTCTCCCTGGCAGTTTCTCCTCTGGCAGCTTTTCCCTCTCTAGGAGCAGGCACCGAGGTGCCCTGCAACAGTAACGCATCTCAGTTTCTTCTAATACAATTGAATCTCCAAATGGAATTATATAAAGATTGCTAGTTGCCAGCTTTGCTTTTCTTATTATGCCTAGCAGCAGGATGGCAGCAATTTCCTCAAGCTTTTTCAACCAAACCTAGAGGGGCTTGTTTACCAGCTCTCTGCAGCTCTGATTAAAATAAATTACAAATAATTGCCATGAATTCAGACAAGGTATAAGAACCCTAAATACTTGTTAAAAATGAAGTGCTCAGAAGATACGGTAATGACACTTTCATGCAAAACTACATAAAAATTTGATAGGCAGTATGGATAAGTATAATCTAAAAACCTATTCCACACTTAATGAAGGCTACAAAAGGCTATGTTTAGAAGCAATGACATTTTCCAGCTGCAAATGGGTTGCAAAGGCATTGCTATTAGCCAGTTAAAGAGACTCTTACTCTTTTTAAAATTTGTTCCTAAATTCATTTCTCAAGTTAATATCTAATGTAAACTGCCAGAAGGGGACAAGATGGGCATCAGAAATACAACTAATAAAACAAACAACATATATTTACAGAAGTTAGCTTTGTTTAGAAAAAAGATGTTATTATGCAATGCAAGGGTCAGCAACCTACAGCCCCAGGACCAGCCCATCAAGCCATTTCATCTGGCCTGTAAAACCAGGATGTCAGTAGCAATTTGGTGGGGTGAAGTGAGGACAATCAGTGGTATTTCAGTGGCAGGCGAAGTGATGGTAGCAACCATGTCGCAAGCATAACAAGCATGGTAATTCAGTGGCAGGGGAAGCAACGGCAAGCCACTGAGTTGCAAGCAGCAGCTCACCTTCAGACAGAGCTGCATTAATTCAGTCCACTGCTGCTAAAAGGTTGCTGACCCCTGATCTAATGGGTTCTGGCAATTCTACATTTTTTTATAAATTTTACTTTTCTGTTCCTCAGTGTAAGGAAAGTAAATTAACAGAAAAGCAATAGAACTCTATTCCTTCTGTATTCTGGCTGTGGCCTATTATACAAAGGTTATGCTCTCAGCTGGTAATGAGTGATATTGTAGCAACAATGGTCCAGGAATTATGCAAGAGGCAAGGATTTCTTAGGGTGATAACTTTTATTGGACCAACTTTATATTGCTAAAGTCAGACACTCTTTCAAACGGAAAGCATTCTTCTTCAGATCAGAAGACTATGCAAGTTGGTCCAATATAAAATATCACCCCAAAAAATCCTTGCCTCTCACCTGGTCTCAACGGAAATTTGAGTGCCAGATGAACAGTCTCCTGCCTCTTATCTCAACAACATTGCCAGCAGTGACTAGGAGTTCGTCTCTTGGTGTATTTCACTGATTACTAGGGTCCCCCTCTCTTTGTTTTAAATTCTTAAGAAATCAGTAAAACAAACTCCAGCTCTACCATACTGAAAGAATACCCCTAGCAACACCATGAAACCTTACTATCATTCAATAACGAGGTGAATGCACTTGTAATACTCTCAGTTGTGTTTTATAGTGTGGCTATTTATTTATTCATTTTTTACAAGTGTTGATTATGAAAAAATAGGGGGGATGTTCTTCACTCAATAGGACTTAAATCCAGGAAGAAACTTATGCACAACCTTAAATGCAGTAGCTTGCAATACAAAACTTTAAGTACAGCAAACAATGAAGGCTATCTCTGAATCAGGGCCCAGAGCTGTTCCATGTATGTTGTCATGTGTTTTGTCTACTTGTCTCTTTTGCTCATTCAGTCCTAGCCCTGCCATTAACTGTACACAGATATTCCCTTGTGCATCACTGACAGTAAATGGAGCTCCATGTACACTTCACGTACACATCCATACACTCAGATGCTGCGTTGGGGGCCTATAATAAGGGCACTTAATGAGGTAAAAATTATTCCTGTCTATTTCATCAGACTGGAGGAAAGTTTTCACACACTGCAAAGGTCCATCGGAAAACTGATAGGAGATTTTGACCCTAGCAGGTCAGTCTCCCTTTTGTAGCAGAAACTCATGATGTGGGATCAGATATTTATTTGTTTACAGAAGGAACATATATCCTGAATACATTCAAATATGGATTTGTTTGCCTACATCTTGTATCAGTATAAAGACTCCAATAGGAACATGCTTGCTTAAAATCAGTTTACTTGGTATCCCAGATATTAAAACAAGCTGGTGAGTAATCTGTTAATAATTTACAGTCATAGAAGTTTTGAAAAATCTTACCCATGTTAATATTATCTCTTTAGCTTATGGCTACAGGAAAAATGTCTTCCTCATTATACTAAAGTGAATGCAATAACTTTATCCTGCATTGTGAACTAAAAGGTCACCGCCACAATTATGTGAAGGGGAGAAATATTTTACCATAGGCACTTTTAGGTGAGCAATTAGGAATTCTAATTACTCTAATACAGCGTATCCCCGAGCACCAGCTTTATGAATGAAAAGTTTGAAATGAGATTCCTTCCCATTAAGAGCTGCTTCTGCCTTCCATGGGGAAATAGACTGCCTTTGAATTTTATGTTCTAAAAACTAAGCCATAGAAGGCAGAAGGCCAGGGCTTGGGGGGGCTTAGTCCCCCCCAAACTAATTTTGCAGCAGCCAGCGGCAGCAGCAGCACCACAACACTGCTTGATGTGCAGCCAGGTCAGCACCCCACACGCACTCAACTCCACGCAGCTGAGGAAGAGGCTAACCACGCATGCGTCACATCGCACAGAGCACGATAGGAGTTATAGTTCTCATATTGGCGCATGCACTCAACCCACCCACCCCCTCAAATAATATTTTCTTCCTCTGTCTATGCTAAGCACACAACAGCTGCACCATATTCCAGACAGTCAAGCAGAAGGAGACAAGTAGCTTGGTCATTTGGCTGTTTTGCCTTTCTCCTTCACAGAAAATGAATAGCCAGTATGTGCGCCATGAGGTCCGTGGATGTGAAACTAGTAACCTGAGAAACTTCTGGGAAAAGGCAATTGAAAAGCAAACTCAGTACCTGCAAACTGAAAAAGAACGTCAACAAAAGAGTGCTCTGACCAAGTAAGTGCATTTGGGGGGGGACAACCTACTGAGGTTTACGTTAACATGCTCATTTTTTCTAATTGTAAATTGTGTGTGCCATGGACAGCAGAATTACAGCACAGGTTATTATAAAACAGAGCTGTCTAAGTGGACAGCCATGGGCCACGTATGGCCTGCAATAGGTTGACATGTAACTCATGGGCTCTTGCCTGGCCACCACTCTCCTCATTGCTTCTGCTACAGTGCCAGCTAGGGTCTCCAGGCTTCTCCTCTCCCCCTGGCTTCAGCTTCCTACCCCCAGTTCTAGGGGTGGGGTGGAGCACTGGGAGAGGCTGGAGTTCCTGTGCTGTGCATGCAGTGGTGGAGGGAGAGGGCTGCTCATGCTGAGAGGGAGCCAGGCTGTGCATTCTGCACACATGGCAGAGGGCGAACTACCCACGTGGTACACACAAATGTGATGGGGGTGGAAGAGCTGCACTGGGTGGGCTGCCCCTGCCATGAGCAATACCTAGGTCTGTGGCCTGCTTAGTGTGTGGCCCCCAGCTGCCCAGAAGTTGGAAAGCCTTGTTATAGAACAGTGGTTTTTAACCTGTGGTCCGTGGACCCCAGGGGATCTGCAGACTATGTCTAAGGGGTCCGTGAAGGATCGCTATGATCAATCAAAAGTATGTGAATACCCACACTTACAATTTCAAGGGGTCCACCCCTCCATTCGAAATTCCCAAAGGGGTCTGCAAATGAAGAAAGGATGAAAACCACTGTTATAGAACAAGAAAGTTAACACATGCCCTCACTGTTTTTAAACACTGTCTGTACAGGCTTAGAAAGTAGTTCACTCCTGCCTGTTAAATTGTAGCCTCTAGTCAAGCTACTTAAGCTACACTTGCCTTACACTTAAACTTGCTCTATCTGGTCCTGTGTGAACCACAGGGCTTGACTTTTCTTCAGACTTCCCTCAGCCACTAGGAACTCTGTCCCTAGATATTTCTCCCTCTCTGGCCATGTTTTCACTAGGAAAAAAAGGCCCTTCATGTTACCTAATGTCCCTAACAAAGAAAAAGCATGCAGAAAGCAGGGCAGAGTGGCATCCTATAGATTAAGTAATTCAGAGAGGCATAAACTTTTATAAGCAAAAGCTTACTTCATCAGATGCTATGAAAAGTTAGTAAGATTACACCTCTCTGAATTACTTAATCTATAGGATGCC